CCCCCAACTCCGCCCTCCCCCGCCCCGGTACCGGCTCCTCGGTGGCTGCGCCGCTCTCCCGCAGCGCCCGCGCCTCCTCCGGCGTCAGCTCCAGCGGCAGCCGCGGCTTGGCGGCTCTGCAGCGGCCCCGGCGCGGCGGGGTCCCGACCAGAGCCCCCCACACGCGGTGCCGCTCCCGCAGCGCCAGCGCCGCCCGCGGGGCCCACACCAGGAAGCGCCCGCGCTGCCGCCGCACCCGGGGCCGCTCCGTGAGGGAGCCCGGGGGGGTCCCGGGGGTCTCTGAGCCTTCCCCGTCCCCGCAGACCCCCGGGACCCCCTCAAGCCCCGCCGCCATTTTGTGCCCGCCTTCCCGGAAAAGGCGCCGCGCTTTCCCGGAAGTGGCCTCGTGAATCCCGGCGGTTTTAAAGCGGCGATGAGACTTGGGCCCCACCAATACCCGTAAAAAGCTATGGGAGGGATTCAGCCCCTTTTAAGAACGGCTTAAAGGGACAGAGACCCTTTAAATGCCGCCATTGTGGGCGCCACAAGCCTTAAAGGGCCAGACCTCCTTTAAAACCCCCTCTGTCTGGTGGGTTTCGTCCCTTTAAAGGGCCAGACCTCCTTTGAAACACCCTTTCAGTGGCCAGACCACCGTTAAAGCGCATTTCACACCGTTTTACCCCAGTCCCAAAAGGCCCTGAGCCCACTTTGAGGACCCTTCAGGCTCCTTAAAGGGCCAGACCCCTTTAAAAACCGTCTTAAAAGGGCGTGACCCCCGCCTGAGCTCCACGCGTGGGGCCAACTCCTCTTAAAGGGCCAGATCCCTTTAAAAACCTCCCCTCTCCAGTGGTTCCCACCCCCTCTTAAAGGGCCAGACACCTCTTCACACGCCCCTCCCCCTCTCTTAAAGGACCAGCTCCTCTTAAAGGACCCACCCAGTTGGCTCAGCCCCCTTTAAGCCTCAAACCCCACCCCCAAAATCCATACATGGGGCGCTCCCCAATACTGACGTGCCCCGCCCATTAGGGGCGGGGTTTTGAAATAACCACGCCTATAAATGGGAGCGTGTTATGGGCGTGGCTTACAGCGTGGGTTGCGGGTTGTGGGCGTGGTTTCTGCAGACCACGCCCCCTCCGCCCCCGCTCCGAGCCCGCGGAGCCGCGCAGGGGCCTCGGGGGGGACCTGAGAGGGTCCTGAGGTGGTGTGGGGGATCCTGAGGGGATTTTGGGGGATCCTGAGGGATTAAAGCCAGTTCTGAGGGGTCCCGAAGCGATTTGGGGGGGTTCTGAGAGGGCTTCAGGGGTCCTGAATGATTTGGGAGGGTTCTGAGGGGTTTGGGGAGATCCTGAGGGGTTTTGGGGGTTCCAGGGGGGTCTTGAGGGATTTTGGGGGGTCCTGAGGAGATTCGGGGGGATCCTGAGGGG